AAGAGCTTTTAGATGAAAGCTCCTGAAGGGTGTTACCCAGGAAGGCATGGAAGTACCATGGCCCACATACCTGTCACATGCAGCTCCATCTGGCTACACATCTGGATTTTTCATAATATCCTTTCCAATAAATGGGTGAATATAATAAAGTGTTTTCCTGGATTCTGTGAAGCACTCTACAAACCAATATAACCCAAGGGCTGGGTTGTGGGGGCCTGCTCCGAAGCAGCTGGTCGGAAGTGCAGGTAAGGATCTGTGACTGGTTTCTGAGGTCTACCTTTGTGTCCAAGCCCTCACCCCAGGGAAGTGGACTCTAACTCCAAACAGACACTGTCTGAACTGAATTGTAGGACGCTCAGCTGGCGTCCACAGGAGAATTGCTTGCTGTGTGGAAAAAACCCACATCTGGTGTCAGAGTGCTATGCTGAGTGAGTAGTGGAGAGCCAAAGGGAGAGAGTTTATTTTTTCCTCTTACAGTTTCTCTCCATTTTCCTATATTATTAGGTCATCTTTAATTACTGTCAGCTGCATCTTATGAATTTCAGAGAACAGATCTTAAACATATTTTGTTAAATTTATTCCTAAGTATTTTATGTTCCTGATGCCATTGTAAACACTATGCACTTCCAATGGTTTATTGCTAGAACACAGAAATATAATCATTTTTGCATATTGTTCTCATATCCTGTGACCCTGTAATCCTCACTAATTAGTCCAGCTAGATGTTTATTGACAGCTTAGGAGAGCCTACATACTCACACTGCTTCCTAGTAGAGACAGTTTTATTCTGACAAGCCCAAATTTTTCTTATGTGCTTACGCAGGTGGGGATGTCTAGAACAATGAGATAGGCAGACATACAGCCTTGCCAGGTCTCCAGGGTGGGGCAGAGGTCATCCTTGCCACCTGTGTAAAAGGAATGGTGAAGACACATGGCCTCACCTGGTCCCCAGGATTGGGACAGAAGTCAGCCTCACATGAACAGAGTAGAGTGTTAAGAACACTATGGCTCCCTGGTCCCCAGGGTCAGTCCCTCCACCTACAAAATGAGCTGGCATCATGAGGAGACAGAGCCTCATCTTTTCCCATTCGTATGACAGTCACCCTACTTACCTATGGAATCCCCTTCTTTTCCTCATTTGCTAAGAATCTTCAATCATGAATGTCAAGTTTTGCACAAAGGCTTCCTCTGTTCATCTCCTGAGACATACAACCCTACCTTCATTCTACCAAGATCGTTGGTTTTCTAAAGGGCAGTACCTCACATTCTTGCAATAATCTCAATTCTGGCTCCTTCCTCATCCTCACCACATCCCTCCTGTCCTCACACCATCCAGTCCTCCGGGCAGTCCTACCCAGGCTGCTGTCTGTTCCTAATCATTTATTTCCCATACTTTATAACGCACTGCCCAGAGACCATGCTTCTGCAAGACTGGGTTCTTCATCTTGACACAATCAACACTCAAGGCCTCCCAGAACTAGGAGGCCACAACCCCCAAGTGGCAGTGCTCCATGCCTAACCCCGGCCACAGCACCACACAGTTACCATTCTTCCTTCCCTGTTATGTTCCAGGTCACAGAGTTACATCTGCTCCTGGCCTACATGATCCTCTGTACTGGTAAAATCCTAGTGGACAAACCTATCCACCACCAGCTGATCACATGAGAATGGAAGAACCTGTCCATCACGGGCCCACATGACCCCGTGTTTGAGTCACATCAGGTTAAACAGGCCCATCTGCCCCTGCCTACATGACCCTACATGCTGGCCTCGCTTCATGGCCAGACAGTCAAGGAAGCATGGCCCACTGTTTTCCCCCATAGTTACCCTGGCTGATGCACTCCAGCCAACTTGTTCATCCACCTCTGGTCTCTTAAATACACAAAACCCAAACTGGAGAGAAGCAGCCACTGTCACATGTGGAGAGCTTAGTGGTAGGCAGAGCACTGTGGCCAATCTAGGGCTGAGGCCCCAGAGCCCCTGAGACTCTCAGGGAAGTCAGGCCCTGTTCTCAGATGAAAGCCCAGCTAAGAGTACTGTTGTAAACACTCGAAAAGTACAGATCTGGGGAGATCCCTAGAAAGGCCAGTAAAGGACAGGACAGGCATGAGACACACAAAAAAATGCCAAGTGTGTCCAAAGGCAGGCAGAATCTGGGACCACAGTCCGTTCTCACTCTGGTCAGCCAGATTCCTAGTGTTGGTGAGGAAGGACAGGAGCCTTAAAGAAGCTGATCTCCAGGGGGGTGGTGCCACCTAGTGGTGGCCACATCTGAGACCCCAAAAGCCCAAGTATGTGCCCCAAATGATGGCAAGACGCCAGCCTAAAGGGTAAAGGAGGCCAGATCACTCCAGAGAGCTCAAGCATCTGCCTCTTGGGAACTGGTAGAGAAAATAGGACCATTTCCGGTCCCCAGTGGTTATCATGGACTGGTGTCTAACCTGGCAGCACAGTCACAGGTGTTCTGGTGTGAATGGTGAATATGCACGTGTGTGCTTCCTCCTATAGGGAGGCCACCCTACAGCACTGGGCAACACTTCCTGCTCCCCTCTGCCCAGTCCTAGCACCACATGCCATCTCACCAAGCATGGGCTTCACTGTCACTCTTCCTGCTCACCTCTAGTCACTGCCCAAAACCTGCCCCCAAAATAGCAAGAAAAAGACAGCAAGCCAAAATCCTCAGCACTGGCAGTTCTCAGAGGTACCACACTCCTAAAGTCCAGCCCTCAGAAGTGATTGATTGATTGACTGATTATTGATTTATGGGACAGCTGCTCACTGTGTTGCTCAATCTGGCCTCAAACTTTCAATGTTCAAGCAATGAATGTTCCTGCCTCAGGCTCCTGGCAGCTGGAACTAAAAGTGCACCCTATCATGCCTGGTTTAAAGTGGAGAATATTTTTTTTTCCTTTCCATTTTATGTTTTTTTTCCTTATTGCTGAGGATCGAACTTAGTGCCTTACACATGCTACATATGTTCTACCACTGGGCTGTAGCACAGCCCTCAAGACTCGAGGTGAATCTGATGAGGGGCCACAATTAATACCATACATCTGCATCTGATAGACTTATGTAACAATCACCACAAGATAGTAGGCACTCACACACACACTTGGGTATGCACAGGGAATGCGAGACAGTGGCGTGTACCCCACAGTAGTCCAAGGTGGCCCAGAAAGCTACATAAAGCCTGAGAAGGAAAACTTCCCATACACAGAAATTACCAGGTAGAAAAGCTTAGGGAGCACAGGAAGATGGCACCTCTGTCTTCCTTGCAAGGACAGAAGTGCCATGAGGCACCTGCTAAGGATGGGATCTTGCTCTATCTTCACAAATATAAGAAGCCATGAGAAAAAAGATGGCCCAAGGGAGTACAACTGCATGGGCAAGAGTCACACAAGATGAGAGCAGGCTCAGATCTGCTCCTTCAGGGAGGTCACAGAGCACCATGAACCCATGCCTCTCTCCAAACTTCTCCCCTGTCCAGCATCAGCAGCCCAGCATGTGGCTGGCAGCAGGCACAGGCACCATCCACCCTATCACAGTCTGACCTGGGACAGCAGAGATAACACAGCACATGACAGGCAGTCACCAAAGGCCAGCTTGTTCTCATGCCATCCCGACTCACAACAGAACCTTGAGGCGCAGACATAGGCTCAAAAGGAGAACCTGGACATTCCCACAAGGCCTCAGAAGTCTGTACCCTTCAGGCCAGAGCATCAGCCAGCTGCTCCAGCTCTACCTGTTTGGGTGACACCAAGTACCATGCTGCAGACACCAGGCACACAGCACGCCAGTGTTCCCACAGGGTTGGTTCAACCAGACATGAGGGGGTCTCTAACCTCCCTCATGAGAAAAAAAGTCACAGAATTCTTCTTGGCTGATCAGAGTACCCCTGGAGCTGGAGGGGCCCTCAGGTAACTGCCAAACCCAGAGAAGAAAAGGAAGCCACAGTAACATGCTCTGCTAGCCAGTCCAAATGCTTCAGACAGAACGGCAGTGTGGTCTGCACTCCACAACTCAGTAGAGAAAAATTCAGAGACACTGTCAAGTGACAAAGATCTGAAGCCAGTACTGCTGCTCTGCAGGTGAGTTTCAGAGATGGAAATGGACAGCATAATGACAGAACACAATAGCTCAGCTCATTAAGAGAGTTGCAATCCTAGCCTCATTTCGCAGAGGATCAGGAAAGGTAACCAGGAAGCTGAAACTCAATATCCCATGAGCCAATAAAACAAAAACTCCCTAAAAATGATAGCCCTGTGCCCCAGGCTGTGATGGCTCATCCAGAAGACCAGGGTGACTCTCCTTGGGACTGTGGGCAGATGGGGCAACTGTATAAGTCTCCAACAACCACAGGTCACAGCAGCTAATGGGCATTATACAACTGAGCCACTGCTGGAGATGAGTAGTGAACCGATGGAATCAGCAAGGGCTCCATCCTTTGTCAGACTACATTGCCCAGCACCCAGAAGTGGGCTGTCCAGCAGTTGACCTGTAATCTACTCTGCACTCACCCACTAGCAATGACAGACTACCCACAAAAAAATGCTACAGGGGCCCAAGGGGGACAAGAATCCTCTTGGATGACGGGGTGTTTTTGAATCCTAAATTTCAGCTCATCCCTAGTGATTACAATCACCTAGGAGGAATGATTCTCCCCAAAAGCAATTACTTCCTCAGCATACAGAGTCCTCTAACAAGCCTGACAATGCAAGGCACCAGACAGCCGCCCCCTCACTGCTGTAAGTAGTCTGGGTTTTAGCAGAGGTGGTACAAGACTTCAGCAGAGAACAGCCACACAATTCCATTTCCCTCCCATGGCTCCAGTGCCTCATTAAACCTGGGCACTGTGAGACAAGAGCGTCCCACATACACACTGCCAGCCACAAACAAGCACGATCAAGAAGACACCAAGCAAGGAGGGGACAGCCGCCTGCTCACCAATGAACTAGTGTGGATACCAGCAGCAAAAGAGGAAAAGGGATAGCTGTACCCACCTGAGGTTCAAACCTGTGGTCTGATCCAGTATTTCCCAGCTTTGTAGCTTTGCCAGCAGCCTCTGAAAAGATAGTCACAGCCATGTCCCCATCAGTGTGTGTTGAGTGACATTCAGGCAAAACTGATGATGACAGTGTAAGTTCCCCCATGTTTAGAAAGGTCTGCCACATTCCTAAGCCCAGACAAATGTTTCACATCTGCTCTGAGGCTGCCTCACTACCCTCAGGTGAAGTTACACTGCACGCTCAGCCTCCCCAGCTCAAGTGCACAAATTCAAGTACAAACTAGCGAGCTACAAGGACTGCAACATGGGCTGCAGACATAGGCCCTTGAGCCCCAAGGCCAGGCACCCTTAGAATGCCAAGTCCTAAGGAGAGGAACTCAATCCTACAGCCAAATCCCCCCAGACACACACCCCAAGGCAGGGGAGGACCAGCAGGCCCCAGGGCACAGCACAGCCAGGACAGCCTACCTAAAGAACAAAGTAGTGCTGGACTGCTCCATGACAGTCAGAGCCCCTGGACTTAAGCCTCACTGCCTTCCCATCTGAAGCAATCTGAGGGCAAGGATCACATACTTCATTTTTTTTGAAGCCAAGTCCATTATGTAGTTCAGGCTGGCCTTGAACTCACTTACAAAGCTGAGGCTAGACTTGAATTCACAGCAATCCTCCTGCCTCAGCCTCCCAAGCGCTGGGATTACAAACATATACTACCATACCCAGCTAAGGGCCACATGCTTTTGATCTGGCCTGTCACCCTCTCCTGGTGTCCAGCAAAGTGCTGTCACCAATGGTTCAGCCAAATATTTCAAGGGCCTCTTAAGGGGTGAAAAGGGCCTGGCCGACAACCTCCCCACAGCCAATGCTGTACAATGTGTACTAAGCACCAGACTCTTCTCTGAACACTTTACCCAAGGCAGACACTGTCAGCGTTCCTCACTATAGAGTTCAAGCACAGGCAAGAACAGGCATGACACAGCCATGGAGCACCCATGGCAAAACTTCAAACTATGCATGGCTCCAAAGCCCCCAATCTTAAGCAATTTCTTTCCTTCCTTCCTTCCTTCCTTCTTTCCTTCTTTCCTTCTTTCCTTCTTTCCTTCCTTCTTTCCTTCCTTTCTGGTACTGGGGGTCAAATTTGGAACCTTGACCTTGCCAAGCAGGCCCTTATGCTGCTGAGCTATATCCCCAGCCCAGCAATTTCTTAAAACTGTGTCAAGAGAAACAGAGACAAGTAATTGGCCTGGCAGCACCTCTGACAGCAAGCCACAGATAGGGCTACTCACAGAGCTCTGTGCCCCAGTGGACCCTCACTTCTCCTGACGCTCTGAACAGGACCAGTATAAACAGGATGCAAGGAGCAGCTCAGGAACTGGCCAATGGAATGGGAGCAGCCAACAGGGCGAAAATGTAGACTGACCTTTACTCTCCCCCAAATTACTCCAGAATTGGAAATAGTGGTCCAGTGCATGGCAGACAAACCAGAGGGAACAGAGTGACCACAGCATGAGGGACTAAGACCTAAGAAGTCAGTAGGCCTAAGCTCTGATTCAAACTCACCAGACACTAGGTAACAGACAGCTTCTCTGCCCACAGGTGACTCCAATGCTACCCAGCATGGGCATCTTCCTACACACCACTAGTGAGTCACAAGAGCAGATACAGGGAGAAGACAGCAAGCACATGTCTCCTCCATGTCTGCCTCACAGGCATTTCCTCCTATCATTTCCTCCCTGAATCACCACCTGCACCTTCTTATAGCACCTTAGTTCAGAAACCAAAACCAGGTCTCACTAGGCTAAAATCCAGGTGTGACAAGGACTGGTTCCTCCTGAAGCCTCCTCATAGACCATCTCCTGTTTTTCCAGGTTCTAGAAATACCTGCATTCCTTGGCTCAGGGCTCCTTCAACCACACAGCCAACAACACCTAGTCAGTCCCCTCACCTCCCTGAGACTGCACAGCCCATCTAAATAATGCAGGGTCCTCCCCACTGCAGCCAGCAGATCAACAAGCTCCTCCCCCTACTACGCATATTAACACCTTCATAGGTGCTGGATTAGGATACAGATCTCCTTGAGGGCCATCTTTTTACCCAACACAGTACTACATTGCAGATGACCAGCTGCTACATGTCACAGATGTCAAAGGTCCTCTAGGAAGGCAGAGGATAGCCCACCCACTGGGACCCTCACCTCCTTCTCCAGCTCCAGGCCAACCAGAGCTTCCTGCATCTTCTCCTGGCGGCCCAGCCGCCGCTGCAGCCCTTCCAGCTCCTCTGTGAGCAGCCCATTGGTATCCCTCATCTCCCTGCAGGGCAAGAAATAGTCATTCCAGCAGCCACACAGGCGAAGATGAACTGGGGCCAGGAATGCAGACATCTGCCCCATTAACCCTAACGCAACTGCTCCCCAAGTCCTTGGCCCTCACCGCAGGTGTGCATTCTCCTCCCGCAGCCGCTTCAGCTCCCGCTCCACCCTGGGCAGCCGCAGCAGCTCAGACTTCATGCTCCTCACGACAGTGGCATCCTGCTCCTGCAAGCACAACTTCTGCTCCAAGTCCTAATAGAAGCAGGCAGAGGAAAAGAAAGAAGAATGAGCAGCAGGGAAGCAAAGAATTCAGGGTGGAAGGTATAAGCCAGGAGGATAACACTGGCTTTTCTGACAAGTCACAGAAGAAGCAGAGTATGAGGACCAAGTCAATAAATAAACTCCAGTGGAGTTCAGTGCTGTCCAGTGAATGGGGCAAGTGACAGGGACCAAGTGACACAAAGGACAAATCAGGCTGTTCACACAAGCCCAGGGTAGCTGAAGGTAGGGTGAGGTCCAAGAAGGAAGCCAGGATGCTGGCTGAACTAGTCAGCCAGAACAGGGGTGAAGCTCTTACGTCTGAGGCCTTCCCAGGAGCTAACCATAGGACAACCACAGGCAGTGAGCAGCACAGGCTTCCCATGGAGCCTAGATGTTACTCTGAAGGCAACAGAAAGCTGTAGAAGGGATCTCAAAACACCCTTCAGAAGTATCCCCTGCAGTGAAGAAGTGAGGCCTGACTTTGCATCAGATGGATCCAGTGTAAGCATGGTCTGGCTGTACCCCTAGAAGTAGGGTTTCTATCTCCAGCTTACTTCATACCACCTTCCACATCTAATTTTATCCTTGTGTTTCCTGTACATCTTCTACTAGGATGCAACCTTCCTATGAGCAGAAGCACCCATCCACTAACCATGGCCTCCCTGGCACCCAACACAGTGCTTGGCATGCAGGACACAATCAGCTAGAACCCACAAATGCCACCAAGATACCCATGGTTCAGATGTCTTTGTATCTACAGAATGAATGTTGACAGCCTGACACAAAGTGACCCACCTTAATCTTCTGTTCCTGCTCTGCTCTGGCTTCTTGGCTGGCCTGGAGCTCCTGAATTTTCTGATTTGCTTCCTGCCACTTTCTGATAAAGAAAGAATACATTGGGTCTAGGAACAGTTCAGCCTGAGTGCCAGCATGGCCCCACACCTGCATGTGACAGGGGTCCCCAAGCCCTACAGTGGCTTACATTCACTGGCTCTGAGGCCTTGAACTCCTGGGGAGTAGACCCAATGGGGAGCCTGGCCCCACAGCAGCCTGCAGCTCTCTGGGTACCACTCTGCTCACATGTCCACCAGTCCTCATGAAGTTGAATGAGGCCACTCAAGCCTGACTGCTCTTATTCCCAGGGAGCAGAAATACCTCCGACAACATTGACAGAAAAAGGGCCAACTCCTTGGGAGAGAACTTCATGCCTCCAGCTAGCAACTCACACATCCTTGCCTTCCCTAGTATGTCCCTGCACATGGAACAACTATTCCTATCCATAGCCTACACACCTCCAGGGACATCCTGCATGCCCTTCAAAACCTAGCTCAGCAAAACACCTTCTCTTGAAGGCGGCTGCCCCATCTTACCCCACCCCTGTTCCAACTCAGGAACATTTCAGATGCCCCCTATTCTGGCATTCACTATTTTGGCCTCAGTAACTCAGCCTCCGGCGCCCCTGCAGGTCCACACCCCCACCTATGGTGCAGGTCAAGCTGCTCTTGGAGCTCCTGCTTCTCAGACTCCAGCCGCTTCACTTGTACTTCCTGGTCCATCAAGCTCCACTGCAGCTCTGAGACTTGACCCTTCAATGTGCCGATCGTCTGAAAGCAGAGACAACATGCTGAAGCCAGGCCTGTGCAGAGGTAGACATGGCTCTCACAGGAAATGAGGGGCAAAAAGAAGAACCTGTCATCTCTCATCTGCCACCTGGGGAGGGACAGAACCCCTCTCCTGAGGATTGTGCATTTGAGTAGCAGAGACAGAAGCATCCTGGTGTAAGTTATGCTCCATGAGAAAAAAGACAGATCCAGGTCACAGCAGCGCCTAAAGAAGCTAGTCCCACTGGGGGACTCTCAAGCAAAATTCAAGATGAGATTGCCTTTCAGGTCTCATACAAGTTAGCCTCCATGCCTGGTAACATGCCTACAGCATCCCATATCTACCAGGTATAGTCATCATGCTCCCAGTTTAGTATCCCTTTCCTAACCACATCTGTCCTACCACCACACCAGCAGTGAGTGAGGACACAGAACCCCAGGCCAGCCAGATGGGCTGGAAGCTGCTGAGTGGCCATGTGTTCAGGGTAGGAGGTATCCCCCAAGGCAAAGCCAGCAGTACTCACCCAGAAGCTTGCAGGACAGGGCAGCACATCTGCTAACATAGACAGTCACATAAAGGAACTGTCCCTGCTCTATCACCACACTCACCTGGAGATCCACCCCCTATAGCTCTCCTAGGGAAAGAGTATACTGGGCAAGTCCACTCAAATATCACATAAGTTAACATGTCTCAGCTTACATACAAAGGAAACTTATATACAAGGGGCAAGATAGTGGTTCTAGCAACTCACCTCAGGAAGGATACTGGTGCAGCATAATCTGAGTGACTAAGGGCCCAGGGCCTGCCCAAGTAGTACCTTTAGCAAATGCAGAGGCCAAGATTCAGTTCCTTGCCCAAGAGAAGCCCCACCAATCCAGGGCCCAGTGAAATGCACCAGCAATATTAACCACATGGCCCTCCGGCGAGTCGGATATAAGCACCCCACACTATCAATCTGTACAACTCACTTATAACAACAATGAGCACTATTAGTCTGGCACTCAAACAAGAATGGAGGAATCAAAAACAAAACCTTCTTTGAAAGGTCCTATTGAACTCAATAAACACACACTAGGCACCAAGGCCAACCAGACACAGCCGTCCTAATAAAGGACAGACATGGGGAAGATCAGACATTGAGCAAGCAAACAGGTGAATGAGGGAACTGCAGAGTAATGAGCATTATAAATCAGGGGACAGGGACCGGGGAGATGGCTCAGTAGAATAAGCGCTTTCCTGGCAAGTGCAAGGGGCTAAGTTCAATCCCCGGTTCTGCCAAAAAAACAAACAAACATAAATCAGGGGACTGTCACAGAAGCATAAAGTCTAGGGCAGATGCTCATGACTGTGGACTGAGTCACGAAGGAGGTGCTATTTCACACCCAAATTGTCCTGATGGAGTCACCTTTTCTGCTCTCCCGAGGCTGTATGTAGCTCCTTTTTGGCATGGAATGGTGGCACCACCCAGAACACAGGTCTGGGACCCAGAGCACAGGCAAGCCATGCAGGGAAAGAGCCAGCTTCTCTGCAAGTTGGTCTCACCTCCTCTCCTGCCAGCAATCACTGCATCACTGTTATGGCAAAAATCCCCTGCAGCTGCCCCAAGGAGCTATCAGGAGGAAAGCACAGCACAGAGATGGACTACCAATAATGCAACACAGCCCTGCCCCAGGGGCAGCTCTCATCCAGTTCCACTTGGCACCTGTGATCCTGAACATTACAGAAGAGAGACAGGAAGGTCAGAGAAGCCCAGTGTCCACCAGCACCAATGCTCAGGCTGTCTAAAACACACACAGCCTTCCCATGGACTGCAGTTCCATGCACTCACATTCAAAGGCATTCCTGAAGGCCAGGAAATGGTAATAGACCTTCCTGATAATCAAATAAATGCAAATCTAGAGGCACCGACTTACATCTTCTAGGTAAAAAGAAAATACTGCCTGAGCATCCCACCACCCAGGACAGAGAAGGCTACACCAGTCAACTCTGCAACACCCAGAGAACTGCCTCAGTCTCCATGCACCGTTTCTAGGGTCTGCCCACACAAAACATTGTGACAGGTGCCAACAGGCTACACCCAGGACACTATCTGCCAGAGACACAGCACGGCAAATACAAGAAACAAACACTAGAAATCAACAAAATTCATAATTACAAAGACCAAAGACTGCTCAACTTCTTAATTAAAAAAATCAAAGAAAGACAGTCAGTGAGATAGCTCAGCAGACTAAGCGCCAGCTTTGGCAAGCTCAGAGACCAGGGTTCAATCCCTGGTCCCTCATGCCACACTGTCCCTGCCCACAAGGCACGCTGAGACAGCGACCAAGTCCAGGCATGGTGGCACACACCCGTAATCTCAGCACTGGAGAGGTTGAAAACAGGAGTATCACTACAAGTCTCAACTGCGTAGTGAGACCCTGTACCAAATACATAAATGGAAAAAAAAAAAAAAAAAGAAAGAAAAGAAAGGAAAACTAGCATTTTTACTAACCATATAAAAACCACAGATGCACAAATGAGAAGTACAATTTGAAAATGAAAATGTAGTGCCACCACAGTGCATGTGGGAAGGCACTCATTCTCTGCTTGGAAAATGGCTGAAGGGAGAGGATGACTCCAGAGTGGGGACCCTTGCTCCAGCATGGGCCTGCGCTCACCTCGCTGGCTGTGGCCAGACTGTCCTCCTGCTCCTGCAGCTGTTGGCTAGCAGAGTCCAGGCTCTGTTTACACAGCCTGTGGCGCTCCAGCTGCTCCCTCATCTTCTCCTCCGCCTCAGCCTCCCGGTCCTGGAGCTGCCGGATGCGTGCCAGGAGCTCCTGGTTACGGTCAACCTCACGCTGTGGAGAAAGGAGAGAACTTGGCCAGACAAAGATGCAACCCCAGGTGGAGTGTTCAAGGGAGGGATGTTCTATTTCTCACTTACACAGGCCATTCAGATCCCCAGAAGAAACAACAGGCCCAAAACCCTAATCAGGGAGGCCTGGGCCAATGCCAGTGCCCCTGACATGCACTATGAGAAAGCAGGGCCTTCGTAGGACACTTGGCACGGACCACACCACATGCTCATTGCACTGTCTGCTCATAGCAACTGTCTTTACAAAAAGAGATGGAGCATGGAAAATCTAAAATTCAGAATCAACCTTGGAGAACAGCCGAGCTTTTGCAGCACCAGCAGATCTTGTCTAATCCACTGAGGCCATCATGAAATGAGTAGGCATTTCCCCAATAAGCAGATGATCAAGGCAGGGACAGGCAACATAGACATCACCCTGTAGACAAAGAATGGTCCACACTAGGCCAGATCTGTAAGAATATGCATCCTCTCAGCCACAGCTTAGAAGCCACCACACATGATTAACATCAGGGAGGTTGTGTAGTTCATGTTCCTGAGTAAAGGATGGAACTAAGGCTTTGGCTCAGACCCTAACAATCCATGGGAAACCAAAGGTTTCACCATCACCCATAGAGAAGAAACCACAAAGGAGCAGTTAAATCCCTGGAGGAAAAAGCAGCAAGAGCTGGTAACCTGGAGCCCAGCACCCTGATGACCTTTTGCCTTGCTCCCACAAGAAGTTTCCTACATAAGCACCCTCTTAGAGTCACCAGAAACTTCTACAGCCAGTCCAAGCAGAATGGCTCATGCACCTTTTTTTTTTTTTTTGGTGGAACCAGGGATTGAACTCAGGCCCTTGCACTTGCCAGGGAAGCGCTTATTCTACCGAGCCATCTCCCCAGCCCTATGCTCATGCACCCTTGTTCAGGACACTCCAACCCAAAACTGAGGAATGGTTTAATAAAAGCCCAGATGGGGCCATGGCCTCCCAGAGGAAAGGCTGATACAAACCTCGAAGGAATTCAAGAGGACAGAGACTACAAGTGCAGCCTCAAAACAGCCAGGGCCCTGCTCTGCAAAGTAGAATGAGCATGTTCTACTGGGGAACCAGGGTGAAGTGACAGACCACATGTTTAGTGAGCACAATGTCCTGGGGTTGGTTACCAGACCCAAAAATAAGAAATTTAAATTTAAATTTAAAAAACCCAGGTTTGATCCCTGGTACTGCATGAGACCCTGTACCAAATAAATAAATACAAACTAACTAAAACAAATAAATAAAAAATGAAGCGCTATATCTGCACAGAGCCTGGGTAGCACCACTGGAGCCAGAACACATATCTGCTGGTATCACCAGTTCTGAGCACAAAGGGCAAGTGTAAACAACCTCAAACCCCAGTCCTTAGGTTTTAACACCTAACGGTGCTTCCAGGTGAGAGACCAGCTGTCCTGTCCTGTCCTAGACGTCCACCACTGAACTTGCAGTTCCTGAAAAAACAACATAAAGGCCCAACGGTCTAGGAAAAATCCAGTGGCTCCTGGGCCACAGTGGGCAGTATCTGGGAGCAGGGAAGAGAAGGCAGTTCAAGTCTGGCAAGCCCAGGTCCAAGCACAGCCATTCCTCCTCCCCTTCTCTTCCCTCCCCAGAGGAAGGCCATGCACAGACCTGTCAGCAAGTTCTCACTCATTCTAACATTCCCACACCACTGATGCCGAGTACTGGAGACCAGGGCATCAGCAGGGCCTGCTTCAAGGGACTCTTCTTAGAGAAGCTGCAGGAGCCCCCTGTTCTTCCTTTGCCTGAGAGCCTGGGCTACACCATCAGCACTGCTGCAACATGCCCAACCCTAAAAGAGAACACTTCAAACTCTTGACTCACAGAGCCCACATATCACAGCCAGAAATGAACCCAATTAGTATCACACCCTGGACAACATCAGCTACCTAAACAGGGACTAGGGAAGTGTGTGAATATGCAAGTATGGCAAGAAGCAGACCTGCAGGGACGCCAAGATACTTCCTAGTCTGATATTGTCTGCATCTTGGCAGCATTTCCACAACTGATCAGCACTTACTGAAAACCCTGGCAGAGAGCTGTTAATCAAAACAAAGCAAAGACAACCCCATCCCCCACCCTCAGCCCCGAGTCATGGGGCTGTGCTTTCTCAGCTGTCCTGGGAAGTCCTCAGCAAACTAGCCGCAAAGCACTAGGCAGGCATTTGGCTGAGGATCTGTACCCACCGCAGCAAGACCCAGCACAATCCCTGAGAACCTCAACCCAGTGATGCACCCACCACCCAGTGACTTTTCCAACCCACTGTCACCTTCACAACACCTGGAATTTCTGCCAGATCTGCATTATGATTTGTTCAGAGGGAAGAGGAAATAGAGACCCAGAGGAAGCATGTGTGTCCTACCATGGCCTCACCAAGCAAAAGATGCACTGACAAGCCCCCTTTTGCAACCACCCCACTTCAGTCCACCCTCCTCCAATACATCACAGCAGCAGGTGGTCTCTGAGGAATGCCCTGACAACTGGATGCAGAGGCCCTCGGGCCTCCAACCAGCCAAGTCTTGCTAAGTAGAGCACATAACCCCTTGCCTCCCAGGGCTGGTAGCCAGGCCCATTCCACCTGGACCCACCTCGTAGTTCCTGGCACTAGTACTGGCCGCCTTCTCCAGCTCCACACGTGCCCGTTTGTGACTCAACTCCATCTGCATCTTCTCCCGCTCCACCTGGATGAGGTAGGACTTTGAGCGGATCTGCTCGGCTCTTTCCTCCAACTG